CTAGTTTTATACTTAGTTGGACGCGTCCAAGTTAATGTCATCAGTAAAAACCAGAGGGGTGTTAGGATACCATATGTTAGATTGCAAAGGAATCTAAGGCAATTAATTGAGAGGTGGGTATGTTTATAAACAGGAAAATCAATTTAAAAAGGATTTTCCCAATTTATAGTTGCATTTACCCCCCCCCCCCCCCCCGTAAACCATTCGAAAAACGAACAAAGATTATAACTAGCAAAAATAGGCAAGGATAAGTAATATAAGAACAGGGTGGGAGGGTTGGGAAATTTTTTGACAAACTGACATAGTTCAAAATCTGTATAAATATTATAACATGCTGCCTCGACAACAAAGGCTAACTGAATGGCTAACACACGAGGGGACTCTACGTCATTAGACATGTGATCAGAGGGAGGAATTCCCATGGTGTTTCCCAACTTAATTAATCGGAATTAAAATATCAATTCCAAAACAATTACGTTGATAAACAAATAACAAACAAGAATGAGTTTTGTTTGGCGATATTACATAATGTTACATAATATATTTCTAAATACTAATTGAAATAAATGATTATACCATGACTAATTGACTAACTACCTAAAGATTATATAATAAGTGTATATGTAGTTACGTAATTAAAAAACAACTGCCAAAAAAGTTGCATTATTGAAAGTAGCGAGTCAAACGTTTAGCCACTAGGTGTAGACTATACGAATCGCCAAACCATGGAACAATAGTGTACTATAAATCACTTATCAAGCAAAACTGACATTCGTTGTGTTACCAGAAATCTGTGTGAAACAGATGGGCAAAAGTATTTTAAATACGACTGAGAACGCCAGTCGCCGTGTAGTCTAATTAGTTCAACTGGAACAGAAGCCATAAAGGCGCTGGTACAACCTCCGCGTCGAAACGAATGCAAAGTGTAAGATTGCGGATTAAGACCTAGACCCCGTATAATGAGCCTGAGAGCTGCAAGAGCACGTGGTTGCGTTAAGCTGCGAACAGAGCTCGTTTTGCTAGGTAATGCAAATAGAGGATGAGTGGGCCCGGCAGGGACAATAGAGATCATGTCATCAAAGGATTTTACGGGGCATAATTCAGAATCTTGCATTACTGAAATTGGAATAATTAGCTGCCGATCATTACATTGTATAGTCTTTGATCTTTTGACAACTAAACAAAGGCCATTAGAAGTGCGCAAGACATCTTTGCGCCGTAAATGTTGTAATTCATGCTGGAGAACGGGGTTCCCAGGCGGTAAAAGGTTGGACTTACGTAAGAACGAGAAAAAGGCAATGAGAAAGAGACACTTGAGAACCGTGTGCAAAGGGTCGCGATTGTTCGATAATGTGTGAATGATAGCCCGTAAAATCGGGATTGTAATTGGTGCTTTTTGTAAGTGGAAATGCGACGATTGCTTTCTAATTCCTTTAATTGTAAGTTGCAAACGAAAGGCTTGGAATGCTGAACTATCCAAGCATAAAAGTTTATGTAAAGTATGAACCCCTGCTAGATAATTAGCTATTGAGTCTGGGCATTGTAAAGTCCTCGTCAAAAACTCGGCGTACATACATAATGAGTCAACTGCGAACTTTACGTCTGAGGTCAGCTTTCAGACCTGAAACATAAGCAAAATCAAATCCAAGTCGGAACTAGAAACATTTCATCAGACACACAATCTTCAACACACTCTAAAAAGCCAAAGTCCTCACACCTTTGCGAAAATAACTCAAACGATGTATCTCCTCTTGGCCACCTAGACAAAGTGTCAGCCAGATAGTTATCAGCAGAACTTATATGAGTACAATCTAACTGAAAATTGAGATCAGCACACATGAGCCAAATTCCCCTGACGCACCTCATTAAAAATGAGTCCCGAGATTTTCCTGATTGCAAAATGTAGACGCATGCTTCATTATCACAATGTACCAACACCCTCTTGTTTTTGAACAAATGTGACCAATTCCGTAAAGCAACATAAACATTGAGCATTTCCAAATGCACAATAGTCAAATCTTCCTTTAGAATGAACGATGGAAAGATCGCATGATAAAATCTCCCTTGCATGATTGCACCACAACCGGTCAGACATGCGTCTACGTATAATTCATAATCACTTGATGAATTTTCAGATAACATATGAATACCATTGTAATCGGGCAGAAAATTGAAAAACCACCTAAGATCTTTTTGAAACTCCTCATCGAGAAACACAGTACCTGTGCCGTACGCCACTCTCAACGCCTCTAGCATACGACCAACAAATAACCTAGCGGGTCGAACGCATTGCGATATAAAATGCAACTTTCCCAAGAGAACCTGTAACTCTTTCAAGGAGGCAACTTTTTTAGACCGCCAGCTACTGATCATCTGATAAACCTCATTAATCTTAGAACGCGGAATTGATAATTGCATTTTCACGGTGTCGAACTCGACCCCCAAGAATGTCATAATCGTTGACGGTAAAACTCGCTTTTCTTTGGAATCCTCTAAACCCAGATCAGACAACAACTTTGAAAGGGACTGAAATGCACGACTAGCCTCTTGGACAGAGTCAACACCAGCAATATCGTCAATATAATTAACAGCCTGGAAACCCGCTTTTTGATGTAAATAGACGATGGCATCCGTCATTCTTTGACACATTAAACTGCCGGTCCTAAGACCAAAAGGAACTCTTCTGTCAATATAAAGCGAGCCATTCCACTGAAACGCTAATAATGGAAAATCTAGAGGGTCAACACAAATCTGCCTATACGCCCGTTTCAAGTCTTGCTTATATAACAAACAACCAGGACCATGTTTCAAAACCAACGTTACTAAATCATCAACCCTGGGATATGTTAAGTGGAAAGGTTCACCCAAAAACTCCCCTTTTATAATTCCATCATTAACTGAAACACCCCGGGGCCAACTAAGGTCAAGAACTACCCTGCGGTCGTCAGAGTCTTTCTTTGGAACAGTCTGCAAGGGTGAAATAACAATGCCAGGGCCTACGCTGCTAAAAGGGTCTGTCTGTAAAGGTCCTATGAGCGCTTGATAAGATATTTCTTTGTCTATATATCTCTGAACATGGTCAAAATAGAGTTCCGCGCTGATATGATTTTTGTAACAGCCATGTGGCCAACTCTCTCTGGAATAACTAATCGGCCAACCGAATTCTAAAAAATCCGGTAAATGAATATCAGAATAATTAACCAATTCCCGGCGCCAAAATGAGATGTTTAAAGTAGAGGGCACGGGGCATTTAGCACCGATATAATTAGGCTGGTTATATGAAGCCACTTGTAAATAAAGATCAAGCCAGTTGTCTTGAGAGGCTGAATTGCCGTGACAGTATTCAATTTCTGAAGCATTGAGAAGCAAATAATATTGATGTATTTGGTAAATATATTTCTTCAAGTACCATATTTTTCTACTTCTGATTTATTCTTGTTCATGAGCTGAAAAATACAGCATTCTACATTTATTGATATTTAATCATTGAATTGAAATATGAAAAGTAAAAATTAAAGAACTTCAATTGATTACTATTATATTTTGTTCTAAGGGTGTTTATCATGCTCAGCTTTTACTGTAGCTGTTTAAAGTGGCATCAAAGGATAGAGTATAAAATGTTAAGCAATACACTGTATTTTCAATAAACATGGCAATGTGCTCATTATGATTACGAAACAAATGAAAAATGAGACATTTTCTCAAACATTTTATTGAAGTATGAAGAATCAAGAGGTAAAAAGATTTAAATTAGAATGAATTCAAAAAGGGGAGTCTACTTTTTCAGAATATTGCCAATCAAAACATTTTCATGACTTTAAAGAAGAAAATAGATGAAACAAGAACACATCTTTTTATTCTTCTCTACCCTTTGTTGTCTCTTTAAATTCAAACATGAATTTGCAAATAAAACTTCAGTTTTTGGGTTGACTTCTGGATTTGTAGATGGACAAGAGGCCCATGAACCTCTTTATAACCCATATGGCTATAAACCAGTTGTCAAACGGGAGACACCAAAGAATGATGATGGTATTTATCACGTGGGAATTATGAATCTTATAGGATAGGCCTTATAAGATAATTGCTTGGGTTACAGTCTTCTATGCTTGCATACCTTGCTTTTAACTGTTTCTATAAAATAAGGTTAAAATCTTTAAAATCTGTATTTGAGAATCTTTGCAAGTTAAGTTTTGCATGAGAATAAGTTCCATACCCTTTGTCTTTCTTTCAATCTTTTTTATTTTAAATAATAATCAGTGATGCTCAAAAAGCTTGTTTATATTCAATCATTTCTGTAATATTCTTTAAATCACTTGGAAACTCCATTTCATTGTTCTTGGGGTGGGACTAGTTTATCCAATAAAAGCATATCGGCTTTCTTCATGCAATTATTGACAAAAACCTTGAAGAAATAAAAATTGCTGTAATTCAGAAATGTTGGTGTCATTTATTCAGTTTTCCTAATCTTGAGTATTTTCTGCTGCTTCTCAGGGATCTAATTGGTAGAGGGTCTTTAAATTGATTGAAATTCTCCTAAAGTATTTTCTATTCACTGTTATTATTATGTGTTATCCATCTGCATGTAATATGTGGCTCGGTTATATGTTATATATGATCTATATGTCATATATCACCACATATTGTATGTTATATGTAATCCTTCTATATGTAATGTTCCCTACAGTATACATATGTTATATGTAATCCTTCTATATGTAATATTCCCTACAGCATACATATGCTATATGTGATCCTTCTATATATTTCATTCCTTAAAATATAAGATTTACTAGAGTTAAATTAGATTCATTAAAGTCCAAGGCAAACAAACAAATATATTAGTTTTCTATAACTTGTGACACTTATATATTCTTTAAAAACTCATGTATTGTTTTTTCAAGGCAAACTATCATCGTGTGTAAATTTTAATATGGTTGATCTTGTTAAAGACACTCAAAAGACATCCATAAAGTATTAATTCTTCTTTCTCCCTGTTCCAGATACATTAAGGGCCAGTGACCAGAACTACGACCAGTTTCAGTTTGTCTCCAGTGTGCAGGAGCACCGGACACATGAGGGTTATCTCTTCAAGAGAGGGGCTTTATTTGGGGGATGGAAACAGAGGTGGTTCGTACTGGACTCCATGAAGCACCAGGTTAGTGGCTATAACATTGTTATTACTTGTGAATGAAAAAGTTGTCTTTTTAATTTGACTCATTTTTGAGCATATTATTGCCTAATTTCCAATACATCAATAACCACCTGAATTGTAATTAATTTGTATTTTGCTTGACCCCTACGCTTCCCCTCAAAATGAAGCCTACTTTATTGATTTACTTGTGACACTTCAAAGACAGAATACTCCATTAAAACTAACTGACAAAGCGTGGAAATACGAGAAACTGATGTTGTTAAAAATATGACTTAACAAGATGCTGTATACATGTTTATATTTTGTTTCAGTTACGACAGTATGAGACATCAGAGGATAGTAATTGCAAGGGCTTCATAGATTTTTCTGACGTCACCTCGGTCACTGCACTTAAAAAAGTAGAGGGCGCCCCTAAGCGGTCTGATGAAAATGCATTCTTTGAGGTTAGTCTTTTTTATGACGATGAGACGAATAAATATTAACTTTCATTGCTTTTGAATAATAATTTTGCCCCATTGTTCTTGGGATATGATGCAACTGAAGAAAATATAAACATTGCTCATATATCTGCACATGAAAGGAGCATAAAACTGAAAGCGATATTTTTCAAAACAAAGTACAGTTGCCAACGAAAAGTAAACAACACAAGGAAACATCATTTTGTGTCATGTGACCTGTGTTTAACCAATCACAAAATGAGAAAGATGACAGTGGGATAATAATTTATTTCAATTTGTTGCAGATGAGGACAAATAAGAGAATCTACCATTTTCTTGCCCCAGACAGCCAGGCTGCCCAGGATTGGATAGACAAAATACAGAGTTGCATAACTGGATAACATAAATGGCATAAATATACCATAAGTTACCCAATATCATCAAAATGGATTGTGAATTAGCAATATTGCTAAAGTGGACCATAGTTTGTACAAACTTAAAAATAGAGCAGAATAGAAACACTAAAAACCATGGGGCAACATGGAAAATATTAAAAGTAACTCGGAGAATATCAACAGTTCATCTTAAAAATGAACTGTAAAAATATCTAATCTAATTAGTGAGAAATACAATCCTTCATTTTAGGATTGAATTTCAACACTTCTCCATAAACAATGAACTATGCATGCATCCAGTTTCTGCACCTGGAAGGCTCCTTGTGCTTTGTGCTAAGTTAGCTTTGGATACTCTGGAACTTTGAGCAGACATATGATTATGTCCAGCACTCCTTGATAGGATAATAGTGTCATACAAATATATTATTCCCAAACGAAGTAAAAATATACACCATTTTCGAGCCTATTTCGAGCAAGTAATATTTCATTTGATTTTTTTCAAATGTTGAGTTCTTATGTGCCAAATTAGATGCTAGAGTTTAGAAAAGTTTTAGGACAAAAATGAATTTAATGATTTGATACAATGATTTAGAGGAGAAAAAATGTAGATTACATAGTAAGCAGTGATTCTACAATAATAAGTTATATGAGAACGTAGTTTTGAAAACAAATTAGAAAATCATTATTGATTCTGTTTTAGTGTGGGGAAACAAAAAATTGTAGGGAAATTGTTCAAAGTGGCATTTTTTCTCAAAAAAGAAGTTTTGCCCTGTTACCATGGCAACCAAACTGCCAGGTAGAACAATTTCCATTATAGGGATAGATCTATTTGTTTGTAGTTGTAAATATTTTAATTTATGAATGTACAGTTCTTGACAATGTTCAAGATAATGTACATAATTTGTACACATCAAGCTGAATATGTACAGTGTAACTATGTAAGTAATGTATGAAAGACATTTTTAGATGAGAATATTATAAAGTCAATTGAGTTTGTAAATAGTAACCAACTGTACATGTAATAATAGTTTATATACATATGTGATTTGAAGATAATATTTAGTTACTTGTAGTCCTAATCTGAGAAATCAGACAATTATTTATTGAAGTTTGAACTATTGTACAAGTTTGTATTGTACATTTCTAATTGTTTGTATTGTAATCTATATAAATGACTGATCATATTTGGAGTAGCTTCCAGAAGACAATTTTTTTCAAGCATATTTTATGGTTTGTGTAAGTAATAATTACTGTAATTCAGACATTCAGTATAGTAGATTTGTTAACTGAACAACAAATCAAAAATCAAAATTGATGGGATGTTCAGATATTGACAGCAAACTTTTAAAATTCAATAAGGGCTTTCAAGATTAGAAAGGGGGTCACTTATTCTATAAACAGGAAATTATGAGAAAATGTAGCATGATCTATTGCTAACAAGATTGTTTTTAGATCTAAATTGGAGATTTTCATTTTTTTAGTAATGACTGCTTTATGATTGGAAGTTCCTATGTGTTAGATTCTTGACTTGATAATGTGTCATATTCTTGACTTGATAATGTGTCATATTCTTGACTTGATAATGTGTCATATTCTTGACTTGATAATGTGTCATATTCTTGACTTGATAATGTGTCATATTCTTGATTTGATAATGTGTCATATTCTTGATTTGATAATGTGTCATATTTTTGATTTGGTATGTCAATTTTGTCTGTTGAATTAAGAAACTAACTTACAGGGTATCACATGGGTATAATGGGCCTATAATGATTCTTAGCTGCTGTCAACTAGAACTCCAGTCCAAGAACATAGATTAGAATTTTTAATAAAGAAATACTTGAAATATGGCTAGTCAAAGTGCATTAGCTTTAGATATATGGTCAGATTTAAATCTTTCTATTTTCTTAATGCAGTAATCATGGGCATAGTGCTATTTTTATGAATAGTACGCCGTCACGGGCAACACAAGTTGAGCAAAGCGAAAAACGTGCGTTCAGGGGGTTTGGTTGTATTTAGAGTGTATTTGCAACCATCTGGTACGCCTGTGCATACTGGGCGCTACGCCCATGGTAATACTCTTCCACATGTATGAATTCAATATGATTATGATATGGTTGTATTGGAAACCACATTTGCAATAGTTTGGCAAAAACAATAATAAACAAAATTTAATGATGCAACTGTCGTGATACTTGTGGTTAATTTGTTGTCTCTCTTCAATAAACTTGTTGATAAACTTTTGAAAATCACAGTTCATATTTTGGTTTAAAAATCATCAGAATCCGTTAAAAACTAGCAAAAATATGAAAATTATATTTTGTTTTTGTCAAATAAAAGCATAGGCCTAACCTAAATTTACTAAGTATAAAAGCTTCAAATTAACACAAGTCCTATTGGTATTACAATATTAATTTATAGGATACCATATGTAATAATCAGTGCCAGGACATAGTGACTTGTCCTCTTAATTGATGTCACTGTCAGAGTTACGTGATTTATGTTTTGTTTGTGGGTAATTGTATTGCTAAGAGTTTCCATGGAAACTAAGTCAGAAAACGAAAAGATCTAAAGCAGTATTCTGTAAATATAAAAACTAGGAAACCACTTACATATTTATCTTATGTCATTTATTTTAACCTCTTGAATACCCAGAGTGACGGATATATCCGTCACAAATGAAATAAGACTGGTGCCCAGAGGGACGAGAAAATCCGTCACAAAATTTTTCACAAAAATTGCTCTCATTTGAACAATTTTCATCCAATTTACACAAAAAATTGTTTTAAAACGTGTAGAAATGATCTCTGCCGTCCAATTTTACTAAGCTGAGCATCTAAAGTTGTATAGGTATGTAATAAAATGTCAAAAGGTGGCAAAAATGAAAAATTCTCTGGTTTCATGCCAATTTTAGAGCCTGGGATTCAAGAGGTTAATGATCCCAGTGTTTGTTGAAATTAACATGTGGTGGTTTTTATCATGCCCCTGGTGCACCCTATGCAGACTGCTATACAAAAACAAGTGTTGTAGGTGCAAGGTGTGGATTTTATTTTGACGGTCATTTATTTAGTTCTAAAATAAAATTACCAATTACATGGTTAAAGATACCTGTCAGCCTGTTGACATATGATCCAGTAGTTTCTAATAAAATAATTAGAAAATTGCCGAATTAAATACTCGCCATAATCCCAAGGAATTTAACATGTTTTTGTTCAGTGCACTTCTAGACCAAGATGGCAGGGTCGTTTAAATTCATAGACACAGGAAATATTAGTAAAGGTCCATGTGCAGTATGACGGTCATATCTTTCACCATGGGTACTTTCTGGCTCATTTTCTAAAAAAAGGATCTCGTTTTTCTCAATTTAAACATATCAAAAGTTTATTCTACACTATTTCTGAAAAGGGAATGCGTATTGAAATCCATTAAAGTTAAAAAACACGTCCTATGTTTTTCAGCATAATTTTGGTCATCGAAAATTGATATCTTCAAAACTAGACTTCAATACCATTCACCTTTTGAAGATGTTTTAGACCCCTTGCAATAAAAAAAATTGAGTAAGTATTGCTCGTACAGTAATGGGACAGTTATTGATTTTAAGCAAAGTGTAACGGTTAAATATGGAAAATTGAATTTTATAGCTTCACAAAAACTGTTCTTCAAACGCACGTTTTAATAATTCGAAGAAAATATTTCAGGATGTATAAATTCACCTCATTTCTAAAAGTATGTCTTTTCATGATGATCACTTCCACAATAAAATAGTTGTGTCCTTCTAAAAAACTCTCCTTATCGGGGGTTCTCCTTTTCGTCCACTGTTATTTCAGTAGCCACTTGGCACAGGGGCAGCGTAATCTGATGGACTTGGGAAATTTTTAATAATTCTTTAAAAACGTCATTTTGACTCATAATTTAAGATTTGAGGTCCAATTCCAAAAAGGAAGCCATTAGTTAGAGTTGGAAGCTAATATTTCATGTATTTTGCACAATAGCTTATATCACCAGTATCACTGATAGGAATGGAACCCCAATGTGCTTAATGATCAAGAAAAAACTCAAAACCAGACACCCTACACCCTAACCAACGTGTCGATAATTTTACAGAGGCTGACAAAACAGGTGAAAAAACAATGACTATGACAATTACAATATGTCAATACTCAGTTGCGACATAAGAACCCTATTCTGTAAAAACAAACACAACTTAACTGCCTTTCAAGAATTTAATTCACACCATAATAATATTCCTCACATCAAATTTCAATATTTCATTTTTAGATCTATATTTTTGAGTCTCTTCCATGCATTCCGTGTCAATAAAACTCCAAAGTCATTTTTCATAATTTAATTGTCCATGATTAATGGTGGATCTAATATTCATCACCACCTTCCTCTTCAGCCTCTCCCTCTACAGAGTCCACACCAACCTCTTCATAGTCCTTCTCTAGAGCAGCCAGATCCTCACGGGCCTCCGAGAACTCTCCCTCTTCCATACCCTCTCCTACATACCAGTGGACAAAGGCACGCTTGGCATACATTAGATCAAATTTGTGGTCAAGACGAGCCCAGGCTTCAGCGATGGCAGTGGTGTTGCTCAACATGCATACGGCACGTTGGACTTTGGCAAGATCACCTCCAGGTACAACAGTAGGTGGCTGGTAGTTGATGCCGACCTTGAACCCAGTTGGACACCAGTCCACGAACTGGATGGTTCGCTTGGTCTTGATGGTGGCAATAGCAGCATTGACATCCTTAGGGACAACATCACCACGGTACAACATACAACAGGCCATGTACTTTCCGTGACGAGGATCACACTTCACCATCTGATTAGCTGGTTCAAAACAAGCATTGGTGATCTCAGCAACAGAGAGTTGCTCATGATAGGCCTTTTCAGCAGAGATGACAGGAGCATAGGTGACAAGAGGGAAATGGATACGTGGGTAAGGCACCAAGTTGGTCTGAAACTCTGTCAAGTCCACATTGAGGGCACCATCGAAACGCAGAGAAGCAGTAATAGAACTGACAATCTGACCAATCAGGCGATTAAGATTAGTGTAAGTTGGGCGCTCGATGTCCAAGTTACGACGGCAGATGTCATAGATGGCCTCGTTGTCAACCATGAAAGCACAATCGGAGTGCTCAAGAGTAGTATGGGTGGTCAGGATAGAGTTGTAAGGCTCAACTACAGCAGTGGACACCTGGAAGAATACAAATCAAGAAGTAAATAAATGTTAAAACCCCAAAAGATGAGAGATCATCATTTAATAAAAATAAAGCATTAACACATGATAAAATGTCATCACCTGGCTATAAATTACAAGTGTTATCAAAGCATTATTAAACATTGTTACAGACATACGACAAACAAATGACAAATGTGACAAAAGAAACATGACAAATGTTTAATGTGTCACAAAAAAATGATGACTAAATATAGAGTAAGTTCTCATTTCTTGTTGGTGACAAAAATATAGAATTAGAATTGTACCAACCTGAGGGGCTGGGTAGATGGCAAACTCCAGCTTAGATTTCTTTCCATAGTCCACAGAGAGACGTTCCATCAACAGAGAAGCAAATCCAGATCCAGTGCCTCCTCCAAAGGAATGGAAGATGAGGAAACCTTGAAGTCCAGTACATTGGTCAGCCTGGAATTCAAATGATGCCAAAATTAGCTGACAGTATGAAACTGAAATATTGCACTTACATTAATTATAAATTGCATTCCATTTATTTTGACTCACTGGGTTATTGAATGATTTCTTACCAATTTACGGATTCTGTCCAAGACAAGGTCAACAATTTCCTTTCCAATGGTGTAGTGGCCACGAGCATAGTTGTTAGCAGCATCCTCTTTGCCAGTGATCAGCTGTTCTGGGTGAAACAGTTGGCGATAGGTTCCAGTGCGCACCTCATCTGAAAAATAAAAGGTTTTATCATAGTTGAGAATACACCAACCATTTTACTTAAATTAATTTAATCACAACCACTGATCACCACCAAGTGGTAAAATAGACAGAATAGCTACCCAAGAATTTATAGAATAGATGAATATTTTTCTTGCAGCTTGTACACGGAGATAGGTTCATCAATGAATTCTTTGGTTCCTTTTTTACCAGATAGAAAACCTTTACCAAGATGAGGAACAGCCCCAGAAATAATAGATTCCACTGAATTTTATGCCACCATATGGTTATGTTAGCCAAACATCACTTGATCAAATCTTGTATTTACAAACATTACATTTGAATTGCACTATGCGATCATTGACCATTTACTTACCAACTACAGTTGGTTCCAAATCAACAAAGACTGCTCTTGGGACATGTTTGCCAGCACCAGTCTCACTGAAGAATGTGTTGAAAGAATCATCACCGCCTCCAATGGTTTTGTCACTTGGCATCTGACCATCAGGCTGGATACCATGCTCAAGGCAGTACAACTCCCAACAGGCATTGCCAATCTGGACTCCGGCCTGTCCAACATGGATTGAGATACATTCCCTCTAGAACAAAGAATTAGAATCATGGTAATCAGTGATGCTATGGTTTTGAAATAGTGATGCAAGTGAACCAAATGGTCAATTTCTAGCATAAAGAAAAAAGTGCAGGCTACTGATTTGTCTAATATTTTTACCTATTTTGTGATTTATTGTTCAACAGTATGGGATTTTGAATTGCTGGACTTGTACTTACCATTCTAGCAGGTTAGATTGATGTAAAATCACTGAAAATGTTGGAACTTCACAAAATTTGTTTGAGATGCGTTACGACTCTCGGCACAAACTTGACTGAAACAGAAAGCGTCTGTCGTCTGCTTTTGAACAAGATAGAAACGTTTCCATGACAAATTAGCAGACGTCAATTTTACTGTCAATATGATTGGTCCCTTCTTGTACTTTCGATTTCACTCCGCGAAGTATCATGATGTCATTATGTGCGCATGCGCGGATATATTTGTAAAATAAAATTTGTCAAAATAATCAGGGAAATTGTACAAAATAACATCTTTAAAATCGAGTTTGAGGTCTGAAATCGGTACAGATAAACAAGGATCATCGTAGTATGCTACTTAAGTAAGTACTTTACACGAGGCATAGAGAAACTTGCAGAAAACCCAATTTTAATTATGTCTTGAAAATTTTGAATGAAAAAAATTTCTCAATTTCATAAGAATCTCGCCATGAAATTGGAATTTCATGAACGAGATGTAGCTGAGATTTTATACATTGCCGTTGCTCGCAACCAATCAGCGTTTCAACCTCATTAATATTCATTAATAAGTTAACTGTATATATACCTGAGGATGATAGCGTCTCGGTCTATTTGTGCTCTCGAGAACATGGAAAGTAAATAGGCATATATTATGAAATTGAGATCTTACCATACCATCTAGTGGACTTGGTAAGGTATTCTTCTTAAATCGCAGTCATACACTGCCTTGTGTATAACGGTTTCTAGTCACTCCTTGTGATGAGATTTGTGTAGTTATCTTGATTGCAGATCAAATCCGTCACTTCTTGTGAGGAGGAAGTCATTCGTCACTTTTGTGCGAAAAAGTTCATCACTTCTTGTGAGAGTTAATGTGTGTCATCACTACTTGTGAGAGTTAATGTGTGTCACCACTACTTGTGAGACAAAGTTCATTGTTCATTGAGATGAAAGTTCTATATACATCGGCCCTTGTGGAATCCTAGTGGCCCTCTGATCCTTGAGTGAGATTTATCCCCTGAAACAATATAAATAAATATTGTTTACAAAGTGTAACTGAACATGTAATATAGGGTAGGGCGAGGTGGGCGACATGTATAAAATCTCAGCTACATCTCGTTCATGAAATTCCAATTTCATGGCGAGATTCTTATGAAATTGAGAAATTTCAATATCACTCGATGTAGCTTTCGATTTTATACATTGCCTGTTTAAAGCTAATCTCACCTCAAGATTGTAGATGAGAAGTCTGTGACATCTTTTTTGTAAAATCTGAAAAAAGTCATTGCATTTGACCAATTGCCAGTATTTACTATTTGGTTTATAGACAATCCTTTGGTCCAGGCCTTTGACGTGGAGGCAGCTCTAGTTGAGTGAGCTTTATATGTGTTGGTATCTATGCCCGCCTGTTCCATTGTTGCTTTCAGCCAGTTGGCAATGGTACAAGAAACTACAGGATTAAAAGGTTTCACATTAGCAATGAAAAGTCTGGACTTTTGGAGCTCTGTAGTTCTGAGGTCTGTTGTCCTCGACATGTAGTCCCTCATGCACTTAGTTACATCTAGCTGGGGATTTTCTGTGAATTCCTGAAAAATCAGAGTTGTGTATGGTTTATTAGGTTTTGATGTTTTGCATGTACCATCGATGGGTGCTTGGATCTGAAAACCATTGTCAATAAACATTAGTGGGTTTATTTTACTCAACTCTGAGCCTCTACATGCACTTGTTAGTGCCATAAGCATTGCAAGTTTATGAGAGAGAAATATCAATGACATTTCGTTATTGTTCCCTAGATCATTTAAGTGATTGAGAACCATACCTACGTCCCATGTGTGACCATATCTGGGTTTTGGAGGTTTTGAATTAAAGAAACCTTTCATTAAGGAAATTATAGTTGGATGTTGACCTACCTTCATGCCCTCTATTGGATTGTGGTAGGCTGAAATTGCAGATCTGTAGCCATTTATAGTGGAATACAACTTACCTGTTTCGAATAGGTAGGTAAGGAAGTTGGCTATATTTGCCACAGAGGATTGAAGTGGAGAATAGCCCCGTTCAGAACACCAGCTTTCCCACTTTTTCCAGCTGCTGTTGTAAGCAGCTGATGTACCTGTTCTCCTGGCTTGGAGGAGGACTTTGGCAGTGTTTTTTGAAAACCCTTCTGCTTCATACCTGACCCTGTGATTCTCCAAGCCCCTAGATGCATTTTCCCCTCTGTTATCATTGGGTGGGTTTGCTGTAGGGGTGATTTCAAGAGACTGTCTGATGTTGGGAGAAGTATTGGTATTGCTATTGACATTTGAATTAGCATGGGGTACCAAGGTTGGTTTTGCCAGATTGGGGCAATCAGAATGATTTCTGCTAGATCCCTCTTTACTTTCTCCAGTAGTCTGCCTATAAGGCAGAACGGAGGAAAGCAGTAAAGCAGTCTGTTGCTCCAGTTCTGAGTAAATGCATCGGTTGCCATCGCAAATGGATCTTTCTTCCAACTGATGTATGCGTTTAACTGTGCATTCATCCTGCTGGCAAAGAGATCCACTTGTGCTGGCCCCCATATTTTGTTTATTTGGAAGAATATGGATTTCTCCAGCATCCAGTCTGATTGATCTTTGAATATTCTGGATGCCGTGTCCGCTATTACATTGGACTTCCCCTCCAGGAACTCTGCTATAAGAGTGATCTTCCTGGTGAGACAAAAGTCGAATATTGTTTTCGTTAGTTCGACAAGGGCTTTTGATCTGGTCCCCCCCAGTTTGTTCAAATGGCTCATTGCTGTCATGTTGTCTGTTCTGATTAGGATATGAATGTTGGAGAGATTCTTTGTGAATGACTGAATTGCGAAATGTATTGCTTTGAGTTCCAGAAAATTTATGTGGCATGTTTTCTCTTGAGGGTTCCAGTGGCCCTGTATAATCTCCCCCTTTGAGACGGCCCCCCACCCTGTTAGGGAACTGTCTGTTGTTATCGTTAGATCGGGTTCTTTTAGTTTTATCGCCCTCCCATTCCAATGATCTAATTGGGTTATCCACCATGTCAGTTCTTGTTTGACTTCTGAAGTAAGGAGGACTGTTGCAGAGTATGATTGTTTTGACCTCTTCAGACCCTGTGTTTTCAGAAACTGTAGGTGTCTGTAGTGGAGGGGAGCTGGTAATATTGCCAAAACTGTTGAAGAAAGTTTGCCTATCATTTGGGCCACCTCTGAGAGTGTGGCTTGTTTCTGATGATAAAGTTCCTTGCATTTCATTTTGATTTTCAATGATTTTTCTATTGGTAGACTGAGTGTTAGATTCTGGGAATTGATGATGAAGCCTAGGTATTCTATTGTTTGTGTGGGCGTTAGAGTTGATTTTTCCCAATTTATCAAGAACCCGAGATTCTGAAGTAGGTAAATTGCTGTTTGAGCTTGGTTTTTGAGTGCTTTGGGGTGTTTGTTTAGAATTATTAGATCGTCGAGATAGATAATGCACCTGAACCCCAGTTTCCTCATGATTAACATGGGCACTTTGAGAATTTTGGTGAATACCCTTGGGCTGGACCCCAGGCCGAACGGGAGTGTTTTCATTTGATAGGTTGTGTTTTCCCATTGAAATCGGAGGTATTTCCGATGTTGTTTCGCAATTGGAACCGTCAAGAACGCATCCCTCAAATCGACCTTGATCATGAAATCGTTTTGTTCTACCATATGTTTGAGCATTGACATGTTCTCCATCTTGAAGTGATGGTATTCTACAAAATGGTTGAGAGGTTTGAGGTTTATGATTGTTCTTTTTGACCCGTCTTTTTTCGTTCTTAGGAAGAGATGGGATAGAAATTGATCGTTTGATGGGTTTGTTATTTCTATTGACATTTTTATTTCCAAAAGTTTTTTATCTCTTTTGACGTTTCTTGACGTTCCATTGCACTGAAGTTTGGCCAGTAAGGGGTTTTCATTTGGATGGGGTCTTGCGTAAACTCTAGCATGTATCCCTTGACTGTATTTAAAATGTTCGGATCTGAGGATACTTTCTCCCAATTTGCTACAAACCATTTGAGTCTGCCTCCTGTTGGGATGTTGCCCTTGACTTGAATGAAGCCTAGATTCAACACATACTGACTTACCTCTCCTGTTAGGTTTGGGTTCGTCTGGCATGACTGACCTGGTTTTGTTTGAGGATAATTTGTTTTTAACATACCTGGATTTCCCTCCTCTGGAGGATTTGTTTCCCCTGGCACCACCTCTGGAGTTTCCTCTTGGTGTGACACCTCTTTGGGATCCGCCTCTTTGTGACGAGCGGTCGTATTTCGCCCCCCGACTACTTGCAGTTGAGGGGCCCTGGAGAAAGGGCTTGTTGAAGCTTCTTGAGAAACTTTTCTTTATTTTGTCCATTTCCTGTTTTTCTGAACTCTCTTTCTTGAGAGACTTGTAAAGTTCACGATTCATTAGTGATTTCTTGCATTTATTGAGTTCTTTCTTGTTTTCCTTTAGAAAGGTTTTCGCTTGATTTTTTTGAAAACCAAAAATAGGGACAAGAATTTCTAGTCGCCTATAAAAAGTCAACATTTTGAAACTTTGGCCGAGTAACAATATTGCTTGGTCAATTAAGTTTCTCAGGGTGTTTCTTTCTAGCTTCTCGGTTGAATGAGAAAGTTTCCAAAGGGCCCCCAAGGGTCCCATGACATCTGACAATTTATGTTGAACAGTTTTAAGGTTGTTATCAGTTTTCTTGTGGTTTTTATTAGACATTTTATCTAAGTGTTTCCCTATTTTAGGGGGAACAATGAATTTTGAGTCTGGTTTAGGAGACTTGAGGAGCATA